CTAACCAGGAGACTGGGTCACATAGGTCCTGTTAGGCTCCCTGGTTGGGGACCTCGGGATGATGATAATCGATGGTTAGAGACACTGAGTCATATGGCTGGGTATCGCAAGCAGTGGCATCCGTGCATCTTTTCAATTTCCTTGCAAGCTTAGTCCACTGAAATTCTGCATTTTGTGTTCGACTCTACTTTCAACAGTTTGCTGTCTTTCTCCTATTCTCCATCGAAATTGGCAGCCAAAAGATGGCAATCAAAACCGGCGCACGAAAGTGCATAGTTGGTGGTTGTACAGAGTGAAACTTTGTTCGCTAAGCAGAAGTGGTTGATTTATAAGCCAGAAAGTAAGCGTTCTTGTCTAATGGACTGAACCATAGTAATCTTCCACCTGGTGAAAAGCCACGTGTAATTAAGATCTGTGATTTTTAAAGATCATATAAAAGTACCGCGTAGTTCCTAATAATCATAAATTTTTCACTTTCGTGCACCGGTTTTGATTGATATCTTGCGTTTAGATCCATTTTTCCAAGTATCAACCCTGAACTTTGGTGCAGCGGTTTTGGTTGCTGCCTTTCGGTAGTCTGTATGGATTAAAGAACATTCACTCTCGTGTTCGACCGATGAAGAGAAGAAAAATGCTGAAAGCTATACCAATATCGGGATATAGAATGCGGATAAACTGTTCGCGTGAACAAAGTGAATGGTCGTAATAAGCTATACCGGGTACAACACAGCCATATTATTTAGTGCCGGTAACCTTTGGTTAGGAGGGTCTCCAGGTCCCTCCCCGAAACAGGGAAGCTTAACACGACTCACAGGACCAAGCTCGCTAGATAGCATCTTCACACAATAAGTAACTCATACGGACGCAGACACACCGACACATCATGTTCAACCGTAGTCTCACAATGATGGATGGACAAGAAAAAATGGAATGATCAAAGAATCACGGCGGGGGGGGAGGTAACTCACCAAAATTGGCGATGAGAAGCATCTTCGAGAAATTTATTTTTCAAATATCGGACAACGAAACACCGAACGGTTGGTAGTTTTTGCCTTTCTGGTGAACAATCGGCCACCGTTGAGTGACTGGCATAGATCTTTTTCATAGACGAGGCTGATACGTGTTGCAATTCCGGAATACTTCCATGACTACAAACTAACCTGAAATAAGGCACAGTTTATGTCGGGATAGGATGGGATGGGTAACTCACTTTCGGAATTGCTGGCAAATAGTGTGCTTCTCTTCCAGAGTAGAGACTCTAAAGGAATTGAAGAGTTCAATCGGGAACGAATATATCATACTTTTGCTGAATCTGTTGAGATGACGGGGTGCACAGATATTTTGGAGCAGGAATTTTCTTTTTCGATCGCTTTATCACCGCTTTCAAACTTTGTTGAATTTCCTCCTTGGAAAGAGTAGCCGCCAACGCCATTGAACAACTGATCAGGCACCGACTGAAATAAACCAGTTATACTGGGCATTAGATATTGCAGGAAGATTTGGTATATTCATCAAACAGACACGGTTGTACAAACAAGTATGCTTTGCCAACTTTAATGTGGGGCACTTAAAACTACGCATGTAAACGTAACAAGTCTAACAAATCAATGATTAACAAAGAATGTTTTACCTGTCAAGCAGTTTTCGCACACAAGATGAGCAGTAGGGAGGATCACCAATGCTAAGTTAGGAAACGCAGAAAACACCGTTCTAGGCTGCTGTTACTAGAATAATGAGTAGATGCATGAGCGCCACTGTTTGTGACACCCAGCCATATCACTCCGTGTCTCTAACCAACGCTTGACCATGAGCTCGGGGTCCCCAGCCAGGGAGCCTAACGGAACCCATGTGACCCAGTCTTCTGGTTGGGGTTTTCATACCCTCATGCCAGGTCTTAGTTTGACCACCCTTTATCTTATTCCAATCGCTATCAGCCTTGGTTGGTTAACCTGAGCGACAGTCATTACCTAAGAGGTAACCCGATTGACGAAAGCTACAGCAACGTGAGCCTGTCTACTAATCCTGTTCTGCTCGCGCAGATGGAAATACTCCATTAACTATGGGTTCATGGCACCAAATGGAATAAGCCGCACACATATGATGTTACCTCAAAATAGGTGATATGACTCGGGGAACAATCCTGCGGCACGCAATCGTTCAGTGAAGCAGTATCAACGTCACCCGGAAATCACGCGAGTGACGGCACGTTGAACCCTCTCCACCTTTAGGCGTTCGGCTGTGGTACAAGGATATATCGCGGTGCTCACAAGCCCCAAGCGAGGTGTGACATGACAGATGTAGGGCACGTATATATATATATATATATCTGTATATACTAATCACATTTCTATCAACCCTTGACACTTTTAGCACTAAACACTTTAGTGCTTGTTATTCCAACTGTCGAACTCTGTGAAGGTTCACTGAGGTTGTATTCGAGTCGTTTTAGCTTTGTATAGTTGTGTTCCCTACAAGAGGTGCCTAGAAGGGCCCATAGGTTTCTCATCGTGGGTGATCTAAACCTTCCTGAAATAGTTCGGGAAGAAAATCGAGCGCCTAGAGGAACTGCGGGATGAGCGCTACTGGAGAGGATCCATTCACACGCGCTTGTGCAGCATGTAAGGGAACCCACTCGGTTCCGTTTCAACCAGAGGCCCTCAATCCTTGAGTTAGCTATATCTCGAGCAAGGTCAGATATCGTTAGTTTCACGATAGAGGTCCCCCTACGCAGAAGCGACCATGTGGTCCTTTAGTTGAAAGTACTGGTGCAATACACTAAAATAGTCCGATTGTATGGGGGTGTACAAGAGAGTCTTCAAGCGGCAGAGTTAGGTTTAAGCTGGGAACCGTCAACATCTGAACCTACCATCGGAGAGAGATAGACTGCAATTAAAAATGATTTACTGAGGCTCATAAAGGAGAGTACTCTTCGTGACAGAGCTCCCATTTAGTTGTTTAAGGGCCTCGATCAAGTCACCTCGCAGTCTCGTCCGTTGTAAGCGGAATAAGTTTAAGCTATGAATTCAGTTCAGTTCAGTTTGCACTGGTTCTTACGATTTTAGGGGTAGGTCTACTTACGGAACCCTATCCACTCTTTATTTGTATAGTCGGTCCTGTTGCTGGCGCGTTCTCTGGCACCCAAGTTCTTTTAACCCAAGCCACTGATGGCCTTTGTGGGCCTGAAACTAGTGTAACCCTAGGTGCTTGAATGTCTGAGTCAGGTGTGACTCTCACACGACCACCTGTGACTGCCTACCTTCACTGAACTCCAGAGTACGGCGTCTCTGAGGTACAGAATCGGAGATACTACTAACAGCGGCCTTGGCCCAGCCGCTTTATCGCCTTTCCATAAGCCAATGCGGTGGCAGTTGACAATGAGTGCTTGCAGGCATCCCAATCATCCTGAATATGTCATGGAGGCATCGCCTATCAGATTCCTTTCTCGCCTTGCTTTCACGGATAAATGGCTCTTTAAAATTGTGGAAGACCGGGTTTCGTGTCTTATTTAACATCATTTGAGTGGAATTCTTGACCATGGATAGCTCTCTTTTAAGGACTTCCATCCGTGAAATAAGTGGTGTGATCTCTCCAGGCGCTTTTTCTTCAGCAGTCTGCCTCCCCCCCTTGTGTTTTCAAATTAATTCCTACAAACCCAGTCGGTTTAACACCGGCGCTCTCCTTAACCATATTGTTTTCGGAGTATTTGTTCTCTTTTGCTCCATCTTAGGGGTTACTGCATACACCATATCAATCGTGAGCGCTCTAGCACGATTGCCTCACACCGGCCTCATGCACACTTCAGATTCTCGTTCTGAACGTGTATGAAGAACCCTTCTTTGCTAAAAATGAGCACTTTTGGTGCCACTTTTAAAAGTGGTGCAAATCTGCACGTTGCACTAAATGCCCTCCGCTACATACAGATTGCAACGAGTGCCTCCAAAATGATTGTCGCTTTGTGAGGAAATCATTGATAAAGAGACAATAATTATGAAAACACGAGCGAGAAACACGGATACACGGGTAAGTTAGCTAAAAGCGATTGGGGAACACAACTATACAAAGCTAAAACGACTCGAATACAATCTCAGTGAACCTTCACAGAGTTCGACACTTGGAATAACAAGCACTAAGGTGTTTAGTGCTAAAAGTGTCAATTATTCTTAGATATTTCCTTATTTTTCAACCATAAACTTTACATACCACGATCAATTCAAAAATCCATATGTGTTATATCTTCAGTTCAGTTCAGTTCAGTTTGCACAGGACGATGTGTGGCCCAGGCCAATCTTGCG